CAACAGGCAACAGCGAAATGTAATCGAAATTCACAAAACTCATAATAGACCAATTAACGAATAGATTATAAACATTAGTAGCAGTCAAACTGATTTATTTAATAGCACATTTTATACTTAAGTTTATTTAGTTAGTTAGCTCAAAGCTACACAAAGGAATATCTGTGCTGTGCTTACCACGGGTATCGAAACCACATTTCTACTGTCATAAGCCTTAGACTTACCACAAAAATATACGTGGTAGAAGAATGGAATAAAATTACTGTTATACAAACTATGAAAAACTCGATAATGGCAATTAGATGCTCAAATAATGCTATAACTCAATTTTAGCAGTTATTTATTAGAAACATAGAATAATAGATTAAATGCAGCAACCATTTTTTTTTCGGTCGATCTCTACATACTTAGTGATAAGCTGTACTAAATTTGCAAATATTTTCGTTTTATGACTAGTTATCTTCCCCTTTAAAAAATTACGGACGAATGCTAGTATAATAACTGGGAATGGAATCACTAACATTTTTAATGGTTTCTATTGAGATGGTTCAGTAGTAAAAGAAATAAATGTTTCACTAACTGTAGCATTTTAATTCTTAAAATATAATTAATCATTGTATGAAATTGAACCACGATAAGAAAATAACAGAAAGTATGTAACTGATAAGCTTTTATTCACATTGACTAAAAGGGAAATTTATACCAATACAGTTTTCATATTCTCATAACTAGCTTGTCACTCAGGTAAGCTGTTTTTACCACAGTTCTTTGATGTTTCAGACCAATTATTTGAAAGTAGTTTTGGAAAATATTACAGCATTCAATAACACGTTATATTAATGATTTCATATTAGATAACATAAGTATTAGTTTTGGAGACCAGCTGTATATTTGCATGTAATAATCAATAAATAGTCCAATATTTAAATGTCCGAATTAATTAATGTCTAAATTTATATAAAAAAAGAAGATAGAACTAGCCACATTGTGTTATGAATAAACTAAATATAAAAACTGTATGGAACTTATTTCTATTCTATATTGGATGGTCAAAAGCAACATGATTTTAGACTGCCTATAGCTATTTGCTACGACATTATGAGACACTATACATGCAATATTACATTAATATATTCGTGTAGTTGATCATTTGCTTCAGTACAGCAAAGAGTAATGTTTGTTGTATAAGAAAAGTCTACCTTAGTCTTAACTGTAGCTTGATTACCATAGTATCAGTAAAGTTAAGAACATTTATACCAAGAAACAGTGACTTATTTTTATCGGCGAGAAAACAGCATTGTTTTAAAGATATCAGCTCGAACATCACATTTTTGTATTAAACAAGAAATAAGCATTGCTTTCAGTGTAGATATGCTATTTTTAATTTATGTTGTTGACAAATTTTAATCAAACTATCAAAGGTACTGCAAGCTCATGTATACTACTTTTAATCTAGTTCCTTTGGGATGTTCAAGAATTAGAAGAGTATATAATAATAGTATTCCATTCCAACCACATTATCTTGTTATATCTATTGCCGTCGACGCGTTTCGCTCAATTCAGAACTCTTCAGACCATCTGTGATACAACACAATAATGGTCGGAACATTATTTATATAAGCCTTTTGATACAATAACAGTTGTTATGATGTGTATGTCTTTTACAAGCTGGCTAAAAATGATTCCAATAATATTTGTCATAAGACATTTGTACTACGCCTATTACATTTTTAAACACTACATTTTGAATCTAGTCCCTCAGGATTTCTTTTGTCTATATTTTTAATTTGTCGTCTCTCAATAACTTCTGAAATTTATTTTTTACTTGTAGTTAAGCAGAAAGCTACACAATGAGCTAACCGTGCCCATCACGGGTATTGAAATCCGATTATTAACGTTATAAGCTTACAGACTTACTGCTGAGCCACTGGGGGTGGGGACAATTGCTCAAGTTTTTTTAGATAAAATCTTTTTGTGTGAATTAAATTTTTGTTGAAATTTTTCAAAGCTACCCGCCCTAATGTTTATAAACACTTTAGATTTAACGAGCAGGTAAACTTGTATGTTAGTTTGCAAAAAGATGTTTGATCAGAAGCAATTGTTATTTTCAGAATACATCGTCAAATGTTATTAATCCTTGACTGATTATACTATCCTCCAGTTATTACTTGTCCCAGAGATTATGCTTAAAAGATTTGAAAAACTCATGTAGAAAATAGGAGCGACCTCATTTCTGATGTTTCATCTTAAAACATTTTTGCCATTTTTATGCAGATTTATTATAATAGCTATATTAATGATAATTGAAAAAATTAAACCAGCTTGAGGGGATGCTATAGTGTTATTTGTAATCAACCGAAAGTGTGATTTAAATGGAGAATATGTAAAGTGTATATATATATATATATATTATTACATTTATTACCTCACAATTACATTAATTTAGTTTGTAATAAGTTGTCTTCTTACTTTTTAGTAACGACCCATACATTTTAATCGCATTGTATTAGGTCAACCTTAACATTTGCATTACTTAATATTCTACATATCTAATCTTAAGATTTTCATTTTTTTAAAGTGAAACAAAAGGATTGATTGGAAGAAGTAATAAAACGTCAATCCATTTCTGCATTGTAAGAAATTCGGTATTAAGGTACTATGCATGGAGGAACAAATACGAATAGTTTTATAATATTTTCATTTTCAAGTTAGTGTATGATTTCATCTTACCTGGACATAGACTTCTCATATAAGAATTATGATTTCCTGACAGTTGCAAATAAGGAACGAGAACGAGCAAATCTGAAACAAAAAATCTGGACATCAAAGTGCTGTAGTGAAATATAACAGATTACTTGTTTAGTATAAGACATTAATATTTGCCTGCTAACCCCTTAATTAAGGTTTAATGCATTTTCAAAACTATTATGTTTTTCAAAGTTTCCAGTTTGGAGGTAGAGAGTTGTTTAATTAAACACTAACTTTCCATATTTTCAGAATATGCAACATGTGAATTCTCTAACTGGCAATTAGCTGACTTTCTTTAGGAAAAATAGCATTTGACGTCCTGAAATAGAAAGCTATCTTTCCTGTGGGGCAAATCGGATGAAAGTCAGGGTCAGCCAAGTTTTTGAGCTGAACTCCCAGTAGAAACAGAGCTTGTATGTGATGTGAGTCCGTGGGCAAATTTGGCTTTATCTATATATTTTGTTAATGTACATAAATTCGTTTTACCCCCGTAAGACAGAACTTAGAGATTTAGATGAAGATTGGAGAAAGAATTCAATACAGTTTTCAAGGGTGATATATTTTAGAAAGTTAACTTGTTTTATTTTAACTTTGGACTCTTTGTTTTGATTTGATGAAACCCATAGTTGTGACGTTCAACATTTTTGTTGTTTAACTTGGAGTTTTATATTAGTGATTTAAGAGTTATTTTCGCT